CATTGTTACACAAAATTACATATAAGAGTTTGTGAGGGGAAAGGGAAAAAAAACAAGGGAGAGAATTAAACAACAGCAGATGGGGTAGAGAGGGAAGATGAGAGGGAAGGGGAGGGGGGATAGTAGGGGATAGGAAAGGTAGCAGAATACAGCAGTCATTAATATGGTATTATGTAAAAATGTGGATGTGTAACTGATGTGATTCTGCAACTTGTATTTGGGGCAAAAATGGGAGTTCATAACCCACTTGAATCAAATGTATGAAAGATGATATGTCATGAGCTTTGTAATGTTTTGAACAACCAATAAAAAAATGATCTGAACTCCTATTTTATTAAATAGATCAGTCAGGTTTGACATAATAGCTTTCTTATTTATCCAAACAGATATACACGTTACCTTTGCTTCTCAGAGATCTGGAAAGCAAATAAAGATCCTCAATAAGAAGTTTTATGTACTGGGGCTTAGTGCATAATAGCATACTTGGATGAGTGGATTTATACCAGAAATGAGAAGTTTATTGTGTGCTTAGGATGCCTCAAACTATATTAAGTGAGGGTATATAAGTGTGTGCATGTGTGTCTGTCCTGGCTCTATCTCTGTAGGCCACCCATCTCTTGTGAGCCAGTTTGCTTGTGACTTCTCTCTGTGGGTCCACATGACAGTCATCAGAACAATACTCCTCATCAGCCTGCTTTTCTTTCGTGTTCTTCACGCTGATTGCAATGAGCCTTTGCCCACCCCCCTCACGTTCTTCTGGAGCATATCATGTAAAACATGCTTTGTTGGATGAACTATAGTTTACTCCAGTCCGACAATTAAAACTCTGTATTTTTTTTTTCATTCCTTTCATTCTGGGGTGGCCATTTTTATTACTGCAAACACATGTTCTTGAAATGCACATTACAGCAAATTTGGTATGGCTTGGGAGTTTTGCCTATTTCCCAAATTTCTTACACAGGCACTCTCATGGCATACTTTTAATACCATGGGGAAACAAAAAACATAAAGAAGAGTTCTTTAAATGCTCTGCAACATTTAAATGTTTGGCTTTTTCCTGACAAGTCATTTGAATAACTGTCTCAATTTTATCCTCAGATCATGATAAACCGTCAGAAAGCCATATATTTTGACATAATTGTTTTGACATCACCCTTAACCCCACAACCTGTGGGATATATTTCATTGAGTAGAATTTTGGATGGGCTATGAGTAACTAGGAGAAATGGATCTTGATACTTCAATTGTAGGAATGCTGCAAATAATTATCATCCACAATGTAGATCAATAGGCAAAATATTATCTGCATCTCAGATAACTTTGATATTGTAGTATCAAATTTTCTTTCTAAGTGGTGTAGAATAAAGTAGTATATTTTGAAAACAATAAGTATAACTATTTGGCCTCTGGTTCATTTCTTAATGTATGGTTATGGGACTGATGGTTTGCTGTTAATGGTATGGCTAAGACCATTACTCTGGTCCTTTTCACCCAGTGAGACTTCATTTTTAACAGAGTACATTTTCTTTGTTTGAAGTTTTAGAAAGTTAATAAGCATGTTCAATAGATAGAATTCATCTTGGATAGCCTGATGCACCCACTTTACAGAAGGTGTTCCTCTCATCCCTGGACCAGATAGGCTTAGTTCTTGAATTAGGAAACCTACTGAGCAAATTTTAAGAGATACTAATGAATGTAGTCTAGATTATTTTACCTATATTCTACATAATATTTTGACCCAATATTTTGGGTGTAGTCAACTTATATTTGAGATGTTAAGCATAAAGAACAAAGAACACCAGTAAGTTGTACTACTGTAAGAATAACTTACATATTGAAATGAAAAACTAGTTTTTTATCTTCTGAAAGGAGACTTGAGCAATCTGTGGACAAATAGAAATGAAGTTATGAGAACTGCATTCAGGATTTCCAAGAGAAAGAAGAGGGGAGAAAAGGGTGAAAATAAGCATTTAAGGCTTATTTAACACCTTTAGAATTATAGGTGATCAATCCTCATAAGAGAGAATATGCAAGATACAGACAGGCACAGACATCTTATGCAGACCCTAGAATTTCTAGAATATTACTATTATAGAAATATCCATATGTAGATATTTAAAGCATAAATTTTATGTTACAAAAGATATGATTAGTTTGTAGAGCTACCATAACAAGTATCTCCTACTGGGTGGCTTAAACAAGAGCAACAAAACATTTTTTACAGACTTAGAGGCTTGAAGTCCAAAGTAAAGCTTTTGGGAGATTGATTTCTTCTGAAACCTCTTGTTGCCTTGCAGATTGCTGCCTTTAAGTTGCATTCTCACATTTTTCCTTTAAAAATTATTTTTGTCAGTACATTATAATTGTTCATAATGATGGGATTCATTATACCATACTCATGCATGCATATAATTTTATTACTCTTATTCCTCTCCCTTCTTCACTCCCCCTGATTGGCTTGCTGTACTCTACTGATCTCTCTTATATTATTATTTTAATTAGTGCATTATAATTACATATACAAGTGGGATTCATTGTGGTATGTTTGTACATCATATGATTTTTTGTGTGTGTGCATGCACATCTGCATCCTGATCTCTTCTTATAATAATACCAGTTATATTGAATGAACACCCACCCATATGACCTCATTTTATCTTAATTACTGCTTTAAAGCTACTCTCTCCAAATACAGTCACATTATGAGCTACTGTGGGACCTCAAAATATGAACTTGACATTAATTTGGGGAAGAACTCAGTTCAGCCCATAACACTATCAACTCATACACACTTACCTGCAAGTTGTTTTTTCTACTCATCATCAGATCAGGAAGGCCTTTCCATGACAATAAAAATGAGTTTTGTCTAAAGGAATGTCTTTAGTGAATGTAGACTATTGTATATATGAAAGTGACCAAAATACTTCCCTTTTGCTCTACTGTTTAAATGAGTTTAATTTCCTCTCTCCCTGCCTCCCTCTTTCCTTCCTTTCTTTCTTTCTGCTATTTTAAACACTGGTTCCATGCAATAAGTTCTTCCTTGCAATAAGGTCTTTTCACACAAGTCTAATTATGTCAATAGGCTAATTTTCTTAAAGTGGGGCTGCTGGGGCAAAAAATAGAATATTTCAAGTTTTTGATGTTTTATCAGGATCACTTAAAGAGTATACCAGTATACCAGTCATATGGGTAGTGTAGAAGATTTCTCATTTCTTCCTCCAAATTTTACCAGCATCAAGTATTATTACTTAAAAATCACTAATAATTTGATAGAAGAAAAATATGATTTTTACTGTTTGAATTTATATTTCTCAATGACTACTGTGTTTTAGCTCTTTGTTTATATGTTTATTGGTCCTTTCTTTTGTTGGTTATGTCTTCTGCCCATTTTAATGCCTACTTTTTCTGTGACTTCAATTTTTATATTTAACCCTTTTAATCTAGAATTTATTTCATGTCACTTAATTTTGTTTCAAACATGGGTTATTGGATAATCTTTTCTATAATGCAATTAATATCTTTCTGGGCTTTCATATGTTTTCTCTTTTTTCTTTCAGATTTTAATACTAGTATCATATTATCAATTACTCTGCTTTTATGTTTTATAGTATAAGCTCACAAATATTCTCCTTCAAAGTTTTCTTATTCTTATTCTTATGCATTTAATACTCTATATTAAATAGCACTGACATGATATGAATTTGAGAATTGTTGTTATTTTTCTAATTAGAAAAAATTGGTTGGGTTTCTTTATATCAAATGTTCAGGTAGAGATAGGATTGGATTTAGGTTAGTTATTTTTTTTTCCCCTTTAGTACTCAATTTAGAATTTTTAAAAATCTTGCCCCATCTTTTTTATGCTGCTAGATAAGATGCTTATATAATTATCAATAGGACCCTAAGTTGTTGAAAAAAATATATTTGACACTTAGTTGAATAAACATAAACTTTTAATTTTAGAAACAGCTTTAATTTTTTTTCTTTTCCATGATTAATTCTTACATTTATTTCATTATCCTAACTTACCAAAATCAAGTGTCTGATGTTAGTAGATTGTATCTTCTTTCTAATAGAAAGCTCATTCTTTAATGTCAGCATGATTTCACATAGGCCTGCTTTTAAAGACAAACAATTGTATTGGTTTCTGACCGTATTTTTTGGGAAATCTTATACTCTTCTCTCCACATTCTATGCCGGAGTTATATTGCCTTTTGACAAAACATTTTGTTCAGATTCCTTCTCACTCACCTATCTCCTTCCTATCTTTAACCTGGTTAATTCCCACTTATCTTACTTGGCAAGGGTTCATCTCTAAGTTATACATTTCAGATACCCCTTCCATATCTATAGCATCATATTGTGCTAGTTAACATTTTAATTAGCAATTCCTACACTAGACCATATACTCTGTGGATACTAAGGCTGCACATAAGTTGTTCCTCATTGTAAATGTAGCACTGACATAGTGCTTGGCATAAATATGTTGCAATAGACAAATAAATAAATGCTGAGTGACTAAGAACATGGTAATATTTTACATGAAGCCAAACATCTGATGTCCATTAAATACCAGTTCTTAACTCCTTTATGTGTGACTTATGTGTGTGTTTGGTTCTGGCTTTGAGGAGAAGTGGTGGGGTCAAAGGTAAAGGGTCTATAGGCCTCTTGCTGCTCTTAATGCTGAATCTACATATAACTAATGAGTCGTAGAACTTCTACCTTTTAAGTGCTAGGGAAAAAGCCAGAAGAGTCATTCTTTCCAGTAGTGTCCTTGTGTAGGTGGGAGCAAACTCTGAGTCTGATGGAATAATCAAAAGCAATTTTGTACATGCACATGAACATGTAGCTTTGCTCTACTTCTCCTTCTACATTCTCACCTCCCAGTCATTAAGACCTTTTTATAAAACAGCATTGAATTTATTTTGGGCCAGATTTCCATACTGGTATATTGTGGGAGACCCTGGATTTTTTTTTTGTTTATTTTTTTCTCATTCCTGTAGATTTATGCATATGTCTTTGAAAACATCAAGTCTGTCCGACTGGAAGCACTGCTCTTGTCTTTGCTGAGCATCGTGGTCCTTGTTCTTGTTAAGGAGCTGAATGAACAATTTAAAAGGAAAATTAAAGTTGTTCTTCCTGTCGATTTAGTTTTGGTAAGTATGAAATCAACATTTAGCTTTCTGCTATCCAGAGCCTGTCCTTGGTTGGGGTAATCGGCAGATGCTTACTATATTGTCTACAGTAACCCATAACTACTCCTGGGTCTCATTAAAGTAGAGCTAATTTGCGTGGCTATACATTAATGTAAGAACAGGAAACATTTTGAGTCAATAATTTTAAAAAGGAGGCACACATGTTCTCAATTTATACAGCATTTCTCATATGCCTTTAATTTTTTACATAAATAAGAGAACATATAATCTAGGATCTCAAAGAGATATTTCTAAGGGTGAGAATCAAAAGATGTCTGTCATGATCCTATGTAAAGCAATAAAATATGATACCACCTCCTACCAATACAACATCTGTATGATATATAGAGAAATATTATCAACTAAAATTTTTCTGCTAATGATTATTAGTTTGTTTATACTTGTTACCGACATAATTTTGTCTTACTGAAAGGATGCTCATGATTTTCATTGGTAGGGCAGGCTCTTTAAAAAATTAGTTTGTTGTTGTTGTACCTGGCAAAGCAGTACAATATAATTTGCTCCCAAGGCTTGTGGCATGAAAATATATGTTTTGAAAATGTAAGCACCTTTAATGGGAACCTTAACTAAACAAAGTGTCAAATTGAAATATTAACACAACCACTTCTAATAAATCTACTAATTTATTCATAGCTTTATGGCATTTGTGTTATATACACACACATATCTTACAAATACTGTCTAAATAATTTCAATTATTTTTAAAATATCCTTTTATAATGTTGAATATTGTAGGTTTAGGACTATAAAAGACAAGAACATTGGAAGCTGCCTCTGTAGGGCACAATTCATTTCTACAGAACTGAGATGGAGGCCAAGTATGATGCTATACTCTTGACAGTTCAGTGAGATACACATTAATAAATGTGAGCTACATATGTGTGTGTATATTTCAAATGAGCCATAGATCTCAGAGTGCCACAATCATTAGCTTTCACAGTAATAATTCTGAAACATACCATCATTTCTCAAAGTCCTACAGATATTGAGAAATGCCTATCTTGGGAAGCTATACAATATAAGTTTCCATAAAATCAAAAATTGAAAATAACCCTGGGGGAAGGCTCTTAAGCTCATAATAAGTTGAAATTTTCTGAAAAAATAGTAAGAACTATTCTTAAAATAAAAGATATTCCATATACAGTGTGACAGTTATAAGACCCATGGCAAATTCTGAAAGGCTAATTCAATGATTTAAAATATTACTGTCATACCAAAAGTACTGGTAAAAGCTCAACTATTTAAAAATCACAGATCAAAATGTTAAGTAAAACAGGAGTGGTTTTCTATCTTGACTAATGTACCCTAGTAATGACCTTGAAAACCAGGGTAGGGTGGAGAATTCTCCCACTTCTTTGAGCTGTGCTAGAATGTGGTGGCCTGAGGAGAGAGCCTCTTGGCTTGCTCCTTATCTTGCCACTCCTGCTTTATGCCAACCATGAGGGGATTCACCTGAATATGTGTGAATATTCCTGCTCTCGTGTCTAAACTCCAAACAGTTCCCCAAGACATAACAAGTGTGTCTTGGCTTTCCTTGGGCTACCCTAGTAAGATAGTCCTAGGGAAATGGACACATGGACAGAGGGCCATTTGGGCATGAAATAATATATTCCTCAGTTCCATACTGTAGATCAAAAAGAGAGGTACAGTACGAGTTGGGCACATCTTCCTGTCTCAATAGAACTCCCATTTATGGAGTAGGCTAGAGATGGAGGAGGGCAAGATTGGAATCATTAAAACACTGCCCCCCCCCCAGCAGGATCTCCTAATGACTGAGTGTAAGGGTGGCACTGGCCTTATACACACATATGATATTAAATAACACCGAAGAAGGACCAAAGACTCAACTGATAAAGAAATACAGTGAGGAAGTAAGACACTGTCTGAAAGGCTAATTCTATGATTTAAAATATTACTATCATATTAAAATATTTATAAAATTTAACAATATAATCTGTTAGCAGTTTTATAGATTTTTCTGTTTATTAAAATATTCAAAAGGTGGTTCTTTTCCCAGTTTTACAAGGAATCTCCATACTGCTTTCCATATTGACTGCACCATTTTGCAGTCCCACCAGCAATGTATGAGTGTGCCTTTTCCCCCACATCCTCACCAACACTTATTGTTGTTTGTATTCTTAATAGCTGCCATTCTGACTGGAGTGAGATGAAATCTTTAAAAAAAATTCTCAAGACATATGTATACCTAATTAAAATAAATAAACAAATACATTTATAAAAATATCCTCAATACGTTTGGCTTTTTAAGCCCACTTAATAATTAGAAACGTATTCAGTTAAATATCAACAGACATGTACAGATAGGGGGAAAAACATACAAAATGGTTTCATTGGGCATTAATTGTTGGATATTCCTTATTTCATTAGTGTAACTATGTTATACTTTGTTTCTGCCCATGTGTACGGTAACTTGTACTCTAAGTATATAATTGGTTTATCTCTTTTAACGAGATAACCATTCCAAACTGATAACATAACCATGTGAAATTCTCAGTGTCTATTAAAATTGTCCTAAACAGAGAGTGTGAAAATGGATGGAAAATAGTCACTTTGCATGGCTATAAAACACAGGCAGACTGGCTTGGAATGTGGGTTAAACATGATGATAGGTATAAGCAGAGAACAGGTGACCCTGCTTGGCATGTATCAGTAACAGCATGATAGGGTGTCCAAAGCTCCACAGGGGTCATTTAAAAAGCATGGATCCAATGGGCAGTGAACCAATGTTTTACTTCAAGATACAGTAAAAGTTCAAAATTCACAAATTATTTACAGAATTGTAAATCATCATTTGTTACTAACATAGATTAGAGATATTAATCCACACTTCAAACTCCTGAGAGGTTGTCTTCATGGAGGGAAAATATGCTGTTTTACAAAGCATCCCTTTGTGTCATGACAGACAGGTATTTAGGTTGGACTGATGTGTCTGTGTGCATGCACATGCATACATCACACACACACACGCACATACACACACACACACACACACTCACTCATCCCTGTATTCTCTGTGTTACTTCCCTTCCAAATTGGACACACTGGGTTGATATAAAAATTTTAGAAAAGCCATAATACTGAGATATCATCTAATTTTGAAACTACATATGTACTTTCAAAATTCAGAGTGACCTTTTGAGCTTTCTAAATATATTTTTAATTGTCCATATTTGTAGAATACAGTGTGACATTTCAACACTTGCATACAATGTGTCATGACCAGATCAGGGCAATTGGTATATCCAACATCTCAGACATTTATCATTTCTTTGTATTGGGAACATTCAAACATCTTTATCCTCCTGAGCTATAAACCAACAGAATTTAGGCCTCCTGTCCAACTTCTCCTGTTCACCTATTACCTACTAACCATCATCTTTCCAGTATCCCTGACCTTTGGACTTCCAATATTTTTCTAATTTAAAAAAATATGTGTAATTGTTGCTTTACTCTTGGTAATCATGGGACATGCAGTGTTCACTTCAAAAAATGGTTTTAAGGGTTTTAAAAGGCCAGTAATATATTTTTCTTTTTCCCCCCCCCGGCATGGAACCACACAGATTATTGCTGCATCTTTTGCTTGTTATTGTACCAATATGGAAAACACATATGGATTAGAAGTAGTTGGTCGTATCCCAAAAGGGTAATGTAGTCTTCTAAAAATATAATGTCTGTCTGCTTCTTGTTTGTTGATAGGGGAAGGGACTTGGGGGGTGGGTGGGTAAGCATTTCTTTTCTTTTTGTATACCTTAAGGGGCAAACTTCTAATTAATGTCCATTACAAAATGATAGAAACAAATACTACATGTGAAGGGAAACAGTCAGTACTCCTAGACTATAAGTTCATACATTACTAAGTACATTGGTACTTACATAGCATTATTTCAGGTAGAAGATTCACATAATATTTATAAAGGTATTACTCAAAAAAGTGGAAGGTATTGAATTTGCCAATTAGAGTTATGCACTGGGGTTTAGTTAACCCTATTACCCCCATCTACATATTCTTATGAATATTTTTATTTTACCTAAATCATTGATACAGGTGGAAAAGTATCTATCTGAAATACCAATCCCACAGGCCTGGGTAGACTTGAATAGTGAGGGAGGCTAGAAGAATAAAAGGGGGATTCCCACCTACCTACAGCCTTCCTCTGGACCCTAAGAGAACTTTTAACAACAGAGGAGGTGGTACACCCCAGAAGGCAGAAGGTCACTCCAAAAATAGGCTGAAAGAAGAGAAGGCATAATGGAGAAAAGGTCTTATGGATTGTTTGCTTTTAATGGGCTGAATATACAAATAAGGGACAAAGTTAGAGTTGTTGGGTCCTCTAAGTTTTTATCTTCCACCCCTCAATTTTGCTTTCTAACTATACTATAATTGAGGAACAGCAGAACAATTCTCAGTGATTAAAAAGACAATTTTAAATATCTCTCTACTTGTCTAGGTGGATAAAGGTTAAGGGTGATTAATTGAATTTATTTCAATTTTCCAAAGTTCTCTTTGCCTTTCTACCCTTGAAAATCAATTTATTCTTTCTTTTTAGGTCAGTTTGTTTATTGGGTATACTAAATTTTCATGAGATAAAAATTCTCATACTTTGGCATAGTAGTAGTTTTTTATGGTACATATATTGATTGGGACAATAATCATACAAATCAATTTGTCTTGAAGGTAAACATTAGTACATTGGGAAGTAAGACACATGTCTCCTCCGTCCCCTCTCATTTTCTTATTTTAAGTGACCTTTCTGGAACCATCTTAAATAATCATAGATTGAACAAGAAAATAGGTGAAGCTAAGATCCAATCCCAACTCAGCCATTCTCTTTATGACTTTAGATGAGTTATCTAATCTTTCTTGAAACGTTCTCTCTTCCATAAAGTGGTTATGATGGTACTTGGTTTGGGGACTTTTGGGAGAATTAAATGAATTAGCTAATAAGAAAGGACCAAAACTCTACTTACATACTAATAATTAAATCAACATGAATTCACTTCCCTTTTTCTTCTGCTTTTACCATAGGGATTTTTTGGATAAGTCTTATAAACGATGATACTTTGATTTAAGTGGTTTTCAAAGTATTATCTGAAAACATTTTCAAATACCCAAGCTGGGTATTATTTGAGAAACATTTTAAGCAATTCTTTGAAACAGAGAACAATTAAGTGTGGCCCTATATTTGGCAGAGTAGATAGAATCTTTCTACATATTTTCTTAACATATGTAAGCTATAGTGAAGTGTTTTGTGAAAGGATTGAGTTAAAAATATAATTAAGATAATTAACTCAAGAATTAACCCAAGAATTGTAGTTGGCAATAAACTAGTGTTTGCATATAGCTTTGTAGTATCCTTTAAGGGAGGAAATACAATCTCCAATGCCGGTCAAATAAATATTTGGAAAGGTTTGGATGAAAGAACATTCCAGAATTGCTTTTGTTTCTGATACAGGAAATTTTTGTTGAGTCAGTTTCGGTGTAACCTGAATTCCCATGGTGTAAGTGCCAGTTAGATGCATGGAACTGAGCGTGTGGTCTTCCTTACAATTTTGCTTTTTTTGCTAAATAATGTTGAAAATAAAGGACTTTTAAGGGCAAGACTGCTTGGTTTTCTCATGGGTATTTCACTTATTTCACGTAAACTTTAGAGTCATTACTATAGTTCCATTCATGGCAAGTTGTTACAGAAATTACATGAAGGTTGGCAACTTCTATTTGCTCTTTCTTTTCACAGAATTCCTCCACCTAGAGCTCCCCCAATGAACATCCTCTCTGCAGTAATCACTGAAGCTTTCGGAGTGGCACTCGTAGGCTACGTGGCCTCACTGGCTCTGGCTCAAGGATCTGCCAAAAAATTCAAATATTCAGTCGATGACAATCAGGTGGAGTGTGTCCTCAGACCATTTTCACCCCATTGTACTAGTGTTCTATGTACTCTCAGATCCTGAAAATGTTGAACTTAGAAAAACTATAACTTCCCTAAATGTATAACATGAATGGTAGAAAAGAAAACAACAGAAGAAAAATCTCCATCAATCACAGAAAGCTGAAATCTGGCTTTCATTGTTAAGAATATGTAATATATATATATTTAATACTAGGGATTGAACCCAGGGGTTCTTTTTGAGACAGGGTCTCAGTAAGTTGCTGAGAACCTTGCTAAACTTGTTATCCTCCAGCTTTAACTTCCCCGGTTGCTGGAATTATAGGTATATACTTAAAAATTACAGGTGCCTGACTCAAAAATACTTTTTGTAAAGAGAGAAATACACCTTGATATTCTCTATCATTTGATTTTAGCCAAGAATCCAAACGTATTTATAACTGTGTATTAACTTTTAAAAATTATGGATTTCAAAGTCCGATACTGGTATTGTTCTTAGTAAGACAGTGAAGGATGTGAAGGTCTTTTCTAAGAATACCAAAGAATAAAGATTGGTTATATTTCTGAATATATTTCTGACAGTGAATTGCTTCAAGTTTTGTAGCCCTACAGAGCTGCACAGATCAGAAAAGAAGCTGTGGTGTAGCGGTTATGAATGCTAGACCTGTATATAAATCCCACTTCTGATATTATGTGACCTTACTCCTGTGTCCCAGTTTTTTAATCTTCAGAAAAGAAGATTTATTCATTCTATAGTTGTAAATTGATTTAACTGTGTACCAGATACTGACCTAGGTATGAGGGATACAATGGCGGACAACATAGACCTTGTCTTTCTTCCACTTTTCCCCATGGCTTCCCAGGATCCTTGGGTAGAAGCCTCATTATCATGGCTAACCATCCATATTTTCCTTGAATCCTCTAGCTAATGCTGTTCCTCTGGATATCTGACACAACTGCTTTATTTCAGTGCTTCTCTCTTAGGGAAGGCACCTTTGGTCATCTAAGCTCTTAAACTCCAGATTTCCCTTGGTCTCCACTGCTTTAATTTCCATATTTATCTTTTTTTTTTTTGGTCAATATTCCCTCATTAGAACCACATCTTCTTGAAGGCAGGAATGTTTGTCTGTGTTTGCTGACAACAACAAATGCAGACAAACTGTTAGGAGGCTTTTGCAATAATCCAGGAGAGATGTGATGACTTGGACCAGGATGTAGTGATGACGGAGATGAGAGTGTCAGGATTCCCGATGACATCCACATGCCAGCTGGTGAAAGAAATGGTGTGGAGAGTCTAGAATAACTCCAAAGCTTTTGGACTAAGCATTTCAAATTTAAGATGGGGAAATCTTAAACCCAATGGTTAGATTTTACCTTACCTGACCTAAAACTGGGAGGACCCAGTTGAGGTGGTAGAAATCTGTCACTCTAGATAGTAAGGTTGATGTACTTGTTAGTCATTAAATGGCAATACTGAACAGCAAGTTGTCTGTAGAGATCTGAAGTTCAAAGAGTGGTTGAAGCTGGAGATCTAAATTTGGGAATTGTCATTGGATAGTTTTGTTTTGGTTTTGGTAGCTAGATATAGCTGAAGAGAAATAAAGAAGTGAAATGATCTAGTATTTGCAATTGGTTAGATAGGAGAAACCACGGTGGAAATTGAGAAGGAAGGATCAGAGAGGCAGGAAGAAACCAGAAAGTATAAGGTCCTAAAAGCCAAGTGAAAGAGGCTTTAAGGAGGAAAAAGCTAGTAACTATGTCAAATGCTCAAGTTTTCGGTCAAGTAAGGTAAAATCTAACCATTGGGTTTAGCATTGTGGAGGTCATTGGTGAACTGATAGGAATAAAAGCCCCATTGTAATGACTTAAAAGAGGAGAAGCTGGCAACAGAGAGAATAAATAAATAGTGTGTCCTTATAAGGTTGTTATGGGATTGAATGAGTAAAGTGCTTAGAACAGTTTCTGGCTCATTGTAAGCACTCAATAAATGTTAGCTATTTTTATTATAATTGTTAAATCCCTCACAACTTGTGGGGGAAAAGAGAAATTGAATACTAACAGGCTTTTGCAATAATTTGTCTCTGACAATTGTACCTGTGGTCTTTAAGAATCCATTGCGATTAAGAACTTATACATTCTCCCATTTTCAATCTTGCAGGAAGTTTTGGCTCATGGCCTCAGCAATGTGATTCCTTCATTTTTCTTCTGCATACCAAGTGCTGCAGCCATGGGGAGAACGGCTGGCCTATATAGCACAGGGGCAAAGACACAGGTAAGGTGATCATTCAGCAGGGACAAAAGAACAAAAGAAGAGTAATAAGGAAACTACTGGGTCTCCACTTCCATTATGAAAGTGTGGGAGTGATAGTGTCTGTAAAGTCCTGAAAGTATTTCCACTTCTTCAAATTTTTTGGAAGTCTCTCCCTTTCCTCCCTCTCTCCCTTTCTCCCTCTTTTCTTATGAACAGCCCTTCTCCAGGCTAAGTGATTCAATAAACAAACTGGAAAATTCTGTACAAATGGAAGCTTTGTTGTTAGCAACCTTTGAAACCAAAGCTCCCTCTAGTGGTCACTCTGATTTTTTTCTATTCATCTAAAAAGTCAAGGTGACTTTTTTTTTTTTTTTAATAATTTTGTTCACTTCCTTTAAATAAAATAAAAAAATAAAATCCATTATATGCAAAACCAATCCTGACACTGGTATTCCTGTATATAGAGATGCACAGTGAATAAATGTGGCACAGAAGTATGTGAATATTTTAAGAGAATAATCAATTGCTACTTTTTTTTTTTTTTTTAAACTCAAAGCAGTTTGGTGTTTATCAGAGGCCTACCAAATACCAAGAATTTGCTGGGTGCTAGCAAGAGGATGATGATGATAGGGAAGATGATGTGTTGTCATTGATAATGGTATTGGTGGAAACAGTAATAGTATATGCCAGGAATTGCATGTCATGTTTTTATATAAGTGAACTCATTTTAATCCTTTAGGCAATTCTAAGAAGGAGGTATAATTTATTGTTCTCAGTTTCTAAATGAGAATGTTGAGAAAAAGAGGATTGGAGTAATTTACCCTGCTCACAGAGTTAGTGAGTAGCAGAGCTGGGATTGGAACACAGATAAATGCACTTCAAACCTTGCTGTCTTAACCACTGTTTCGTGCAAGAGAATCCATGTGTATCTTAATATAAGACATTAGTAATAGCTAATCATTAATAAAACACTTCATGTTTAAAATAGGAATTGAATGAGAATTTATAAATAACTTGTTGCTAATTCAAAGAGGTTTTGGAGGTCTGTCCTACATTAAATGTTTTCTTTGGACTGTAGAAAAACAATTTGAAAAGTATATGGTTTTTGACCTTGAAGGAAAGTGTCAAGAAAAATACACATAAATACATATTAAAACATGACATAAAACTAATAAAACATTTTTTGGAGCACAGGGGAAGCAGCAACCAATTCCAAATGCATTAATTCAGCTTACAAATAATTACCAAAATTCATGAGTTAAGAAGTATACTCCATGGGCTGGGGTTGTGGCTCAGTGGTAGAGTGCTTGCCTAACACATGAGAGGCCCTGGGTTTGATCCTCAGCACCACATAAAAAAATAAATAAATAAATAAATAAATATAAAGGTATTGTGTCCAACTACAACTAAAAAATAAATATTAAAAAAAAGTGCACTCCTCATGCAAACTTTGTTTGCTTGATATCAAGTCATTTGATTGATTTTTTTGGGGGGGAGGTGTGGAGGATGGTTACTGGTGATTGAACTCAGAGGCACTCAACCACTAAACCACATCTGCAGCCCTATTTTGCATTTTTTATTTAGAGACAGGGTCTCACTGAGTTGCTTAGTGCCTTGTTATGTTGCTGAGGCTGGCTTTGTACTCATGATCCTCCTGCCTCAGCTTCCTGAGCCACTGGGATTACAGGCATGTGCCACTGTGCCTGGCTGTTTGATGGATTTTTACATAGTGATTTCAAGTATAATTTCATTGTGTGTTGGCACTAATATTTTTGCAAACTGTACTCTCAAATATTTGTGATCTAAGTTTAGACACTTAAATTTGTAGCATATGTAAAAGTCATCCTTAACTCTGAGAACTGAATGTGAGTATATTAAGTTTCTTCTTTTCATATTCAGGATCAATAAACATAAAGAGTGGTTAAGACATGAGTTCCAGAGCCTGGGCTTGTGACCTGGCTCCACCACATATAGCTGGGTGACTTTGTACAAGTAACTTCACTTCTCTTGTTTAAATGGACTCATCTGTTGAAATAAAATTACAATATCATAAAGATTAAATGTGTTAGCATATGCTTTAATTCAATACCTAACCACCAAATAAATGCTCTTTAAAATGTTAGTGATTATCGCTGATTTTATTATTTTTATTTTTAAAGTAATGAGATATTTCTAGAACCTTTTAAAAAAACACATAATATTAAAACATCCTAGTTTGATTGGGATGCAACAAGATGGTTTTCTGGCCCTGGCTCCCCCTTCAGCTTGCTGAGGGACCTTGACCAAGGTAGCATTCTCATTTGTCACATGGACAGAAAAGGTTAAAACAGAATCCCAGAGGTGTTTCCACTTTGAATATGTGCCTTCTCTGGGGTCTCCTTAGGTATTTACCATACTTTTCTAATTACTATTTTAGTAACCAGAAAACCCTCTGATTAATCTTTGTAACTTTCAACCTCAAATGTCTAAGAGGAAGAATATTTTGAGAAAGCTTGTACTTATTTTAAAATCTGAGTTGGGCATAAATTTGATTAATAGGGCAGGGATAGAAGAATGCCCTTTCTCTTCTCTGTTCTTGAGGCCACATATTTGAATGATTAGAAAACAGAACTTTTCTAAGGAATTTTTATTTAATAGAGATCCCCCCCCACATGGTATCCATCCAACTTCAAAAGAAATGAAAAAAAAAAAAAAAACAAAAAACCCTAACAAAACACCAGTTCAGGGAAACAAAGCTTACTAGTAGAATATTTTTATGATTCTCTGCTTTATTGAGATTGTCACAGATCTTTCTAGTAACATACTATAGAAATGATCCCTGAAAGTATAGTCTTGTCACCGATCTTTCTAATAATTTCCATTAAATTGCATAGGGAAAGAATATGATTTAATGTGTATACTAAATTGAGAATGCTTTCCCATGGTAGTCATTTCAGACCTTTAACATTACAACTGTTAAGTTTATGTGGGTATAACTGATAACTGACATGGTTTTAAGAAAGCTCTAGACAAGCCAAATATTAAAAGTTTAGTTCAAAATAGGCTATTTGTGGAAACATTTTTTCTTTGTGACATGATCTCACAAAACAGCCCCTTATATGTCTGTGACTCTCTTCGGAACTAGATTTATAAACAGTAAACTATCCTAGAAGACTTTGATGCCTTTCAATTTTTAGCCTAATGATAACTAGTGATAACTATGTTATATTTGTTAATTGATTTACTAACCGCTTTTATTCTGAAACATTTTCAGTTATCTTTTTAAAATGCAAATATGATGATAATGCTTCTTGCTTGGAACCCATAAAAGGCTTTGCATAAGTTTTTAAATGCAAGTCATATATTTTAGAGAAGCACTCTTCATTAGAAACAGGAGGTTTTTCAGGTAATTTAAATACCTAGCAGCCACACATTAAAAAGTAGAGGAAACTGATAAAATTAATGTTAATACTATAACTTAATTTAGCCGGTATAGTAAAAATATAATTTAACCTGGACTCTATAATAATAATCTATAATAATAATAATAATAATAATAATAATAATCTAGAACTTATTAACAATATTGTTATATTATTTTCCTTCTGTACTAAGACTTAGAAGCTTGGCATGTATTTTACACTTGCAGCTCATCTTAATATGGATGACCACATTTCAAATGCTCAAGAGCCACATAGAGATGTATTGGTTAGGGAATTTAGGCTCTTCAGTACAAGTAAGCAGAGGGGAAAGCTTTTTAATGTTTTATTCCTATTTAGATTAAAATGTTTGAATAGGAATAACAAAAGATGGGGTCATTTAATATCAACTGCTGTGGTTAAAGGCCTGGATACATTTCTATTCCCCAGGTATAGAAGAAACCCTTTTTAAAGTGACCCCCTTTAGATGTGACATCCAAAGCACGTGCCTCTAAGAAAGGCCTTTAGCAGAATAAGAAAATCTTGGTGCCGCCTGGACTCATAGCACAAATGAATGCTACATTTCTCCCCCGCTTCCTTCTGATGAATGCTAACTATGGGAGGGGGCTCAGAGTCCCCTGGCTCTCTCCACTGCATGCTTCTCTTCACTTCCAACGGAAGAGATACACGAGTGCTCTTCTGGGACTTGGGGAGGCATCGCGGAACCACGAGGGATGCCAGACAGCATCTGCTGCAGAGGCAGCGCAGCCACAACTGAAAACAACAGCTGGCGTGTTGTTCTGCAACACTAGGATTGCCTCTGGGTTCTAATTTGCCAAACGATATTCCCTTAGTCTTTCAAAAAATTTGGCTCATTGCTTGCATCTTCTTGAACACCTTCTTACTCTAGCCTTAGATACCCAGTGTCCTGCCTTTTCTTTCTTTCTACCGTCCATTTCCCCCCACCATCTCTCACCATCCTGTTATTTTCCACAAGATTGTGCATGCAGTGAGGTCTCCACCTATCTGCATTGTTTAACTACTACTGAAGAAGGAAATGTCTGGACTGTCCCCTTTCTCCAGTCAAATATATGTATAGTTAAGGATAATGCTAATGCCTGTTTTCTTTGTAAGTAACATGTAACATATATCTTACTTAAGAATGACATAAGAAGAAAATAGAGATTTTATTTCACTAACTTCTATGCAGAATTAAATATGACTAGTGATAATTTTAAAATAAAAAAATCTCTGGGCATTTAATATGACATGGAGAGTCGAACAGTATACCTGGGCACTGGTTGCCCTGTGGATAATTAAGGGTGTGAATGCATATCATTACTAATTACAGTCTAGGTCTGAAACTTATTAAGAAGGAACTACTTCGGTTTTGTTTCTTTTTGAAGATTAAAAACCAAAAAGAAAGTTAATATTATTTAGAGAAGAGCTTAAATGTAGTTGTGTTTCATTCTTTTCAAGTAGAATTATTTAGGTTGCAAGTTCTATAAAAATTTTTACTATATTGTTATGTGTATAATATAATATATATATATATATTATATTATACACATAACTATATAGTTATGTGTATAATTTTATATAGTTTTTTGTATATATATTGTATATATATGTGTATAATTTTATATAGATATATATTTTATATAATTTTATATAGTTATGTGTATAATATATATATTATACACATAACAATATAGTAAAAATTCATATATATATGAATCTTAAAATACATTTGGGTTTTTACTCAACAGATTTTTAGCATATTGTTATATATATACAAAACATTTTATATATATTTTTATATATAATAATTTTTTGTTATATATAACAAATTTTTAGTATATTGTTATATAATACACACACACACACACACACACACACACATATATATACATATATATATATCTTAAAATACATTTGAATTTTTACTTAACAGTGTGGCTTTGCAAATCTTAGCTTGTTTTTAAAAGCAAAAACTTGAGAGAACTGCCTCACTTTGAACAATACTGCACACAGCTGCAGGCCACTGTGTGTTTGCAAACTCTCCATTACTAAATCAAATGCTCCACTTTACAATCAGAGCCAATGTTTAATATTAGAACTATGATGCATGTCCTACTTTGACTCAAGGAGAAAAGACAAGTTATTAATATAGGAAAACAAAACACAAAAGTAAACAAATCTTTAGAAATCACTTGACACATGTATGTATTTATATTAAGATTATTATCAACATTTAAAACTCTTAAAAATAAGATTGTCACCTCATCTTCTCTTCTTTTAACTGCCATTTTATTCTTTTAAGGAGAGAGAGAAAAAAAAATTATCTTGCCCATTTTCTAAAGTTTCTTAATCTCAATCTCATTTTGTGCTCTGCAGTGTCCCCACCTTCCCACTGAACACACAGAGTCCAATCATCAACTCTTATTGGCAGGAGGCAGAAAAACTATCAATATATAGAGTTGTGCCAAAATGTACTTGGCTTTTAGGGATCCCAATTCAGTACATATTTATATTGCCTGTGGGCTTTTTTAACTCCCTGTGTCTATGACCTTGGAGACGTCTTGTTGCCCCTCTGACTCAGATCCTTTCAAGCAATTTGCCTCCAAATTAAGTTCATTCCAGCCCCTAAGAAGGAAGGTTTTGGTTTCAGGTACGCGGTAAGCATAGGAGTAAAAAGTCCTACAAAAAGGATACATGTCGTTGTTTTGTGTCTTGAAACAAACCTTAGCAGTTAGTGTTGTTTCCTTTCCACAAGAACGTAGATTTACTCAGTCACTGAGCTGCTTTCTGAATGGATCTGTGGTCTGCACTTCAACACCTAGATCTTTCTAGGCCAAAGGAATTACAGGTATCATATTTTATTGTTTAAGAAATTCTTACCACATAAAACCACCAATTACTCCTAAATGGTCAGTTTGATGTACTATTTAATCTCTTTTATGCACAATCATTTAAAGCCTAATGACTCATTTCCATGTAAGAATTATTTTTCCCCTTTATACCCACTGTGATGTGTTAGTGAGTAGTTCTATTAAATATGAGAGGACAAACTTCCTCAGCTTCTGCCAACATGGAAAGGCCTGTTCTAAGTTCTGTTTGAGAGGTTGTTTAGCTGAATAATTGAAGGGGCACTTGCCCACAACCACCGTCCCTCTATGTCCCACCATATATCCCCTTTAATAGCACCAGGTTCAGGCCAGAAATGAGGCTATACTAAATCTGGGTGTGCACACATGTGTGCAAGGAGTTATGACAGATTCCTTCTCCAAATCATGTTTATAGGTACATTTATCCATAATAAAATTCATCCTTTTTAGTTGTATAGCTCATTTAATTTAGACAAGTATGTTGTATAACCACAAATACAATCAAGATATATAATATTTTAATCACAACAAACAGTTTCTCCTATTCTTTTATAGTTAATTCTCTGCTTCCACCCATCCTTGGAATCCTATAATTTTTCTTTTTTTTCAGAATGTCTGAGATAAAGGATCTTCTAGAATTTTTATTATTTACTTAACATTAAATTTTTATTATTATAATTATTAGAACAAATTTCACCGTGGCATTACCATACATGCATGTATCTTATCATCTTTATGTCCAACTTCTTTTTCCCGCTTAATGATTTGAATTTCATCTATGTTCTTTTTATTGCTGAGGAGTACTCCATCATATAGCTATGCCACAATTTATTCAACGAAGGTGGACATTGCAGTTATTTACATATTATATGGTGTTTATGAGCAAAGTTTCTAACAAATATTTATATATAGACATCACATAGGCACATTCTTTCATTTCTCTTAGGCAGCCTTAAGTCTATGGTTATGCTTATGCATAAAGTCATAAGGAACTGTCAAACTGTTTTCAAAGTGACTGTATCATTGCACTCCCACCAGCAATGCCAGAGACCTCCAATGGTTGTATGTCGCTGCCAGCCCTTGAAATCAATTATTTTTAATTTAAGCCATTCTGATAAGTCGAAATTTCCTCAATGGCTCCATAATGATATTCCGGGCATCTCTGTGGTCTGTGAGAGTTGATTTGCTCCTATTAGCACAACAGTATGGCCAAGTGTTTATATGAAATCATGTGAAGTCAGGTTCTTCCTCCAGCAGAGCTCAGCTCCAGGGGTCAGGTGCTTTGAATTGCCTTTTGCCAGGCTCAGTGGGTTAGAACACTATACATTTCAGGATTATTCAGTCTGTTTCATTGCTCCTATAATCTCATAGAACCATTTCATATAGAGACCCTACTAACAAGAACTCCAGAGAGAAAGTGTTTCAGTGGAGATTTGTCATCAGCACAGAAGAACCCTAAGCTGCGTTTCAGTGATTATCTACACAACCCTGTATGAATAAGGAGGGGGGAGTCGGGCTAAACCACAACAGGCTAAAGGTCTTTTCCTGGAATGTCACTTTTCCTATTCCACAGCAGCAAACCACGGCTGTGATGTGCCGTAAACATTGATGGTGTCCTATTTCTTTGTGTGGAATTGCTTTTCTCTCATCACTGACTTAATTTGATTGCACCAGTTTGTCACCTGTCATGTTTAGCTTCTTCTGACTGCAAAACATAATGACAGTCTATGCAATTTAACAATGATGGACCTACATTTTGCGTCTTCTAATCAAGATGAACTAAGAATTTGTCACTCTCATCCACAAATTTGGAATAAAAAAAAAAAGTTCAAGAATTTCTTCTTTTCTTTCCTGTCTTGTGTTTTACAGGTGGCCTGTCTAATATCTTGCATTTTCGTCCTTATAGTCATCTATGCAATCGGACCTTTGCTGTACTGGCTGCCCATGGTACCGTAATGTTTTTCTCTCTCTACCGTTTACTTTTAATGACAATCATTGTGAATACATTTCTAGGAAGTCAAATCAATAATCCTAAATCTGAAAATCGTCTCACATAAGTAAAGATAAATGGAGGGGAGGGGTGCAAAGATACTACATTTGATGAGGTAAGGATAGCACCAAGGGAGAGTACCATGTCTGTTTTCTTTTTATACACACACACACACACACACTTAGTTGTAGATGAACACGATACCGATACCTTTATTTACTTATTTATGTGGTGCTGGGGATCAAACCCAGTGCCTCACACGTGCTAGGCAAGCACTCTACCATTGAGCCACAGCCCCACTGTGACTGTCTTCTAATTCTTCAGCTCACATATAAAAATGGCACTCTGGAACTAGTTCTTTTGTGCTCATCTGGAAGGTGGAACAAGAAATACTCTGCTGTACAAAAAGTAGAGTTTGGAAGAATTTTATAAGAAATTTGTTTAAAAAAAAATTGTGCTGGGGCAAGGAAGAAGGATCTAGAATACATGGTCCCACCCTTGATACATCCTTTATACTAAGTGGCTCAGAACATTAGAACCAGTAGTTCCTCTTGCTCTTTATAAGCCTGAGGTACCAAAGTGACTCAAGTTAAGATGCTGGGCTAAAAAGAGCCAGTCTCCACCCTTTGTTGCTCTAATTCTTCTCTTGTGCAGTGAAGATAAATATTTCCATGGAATGATCTTCCAATAATCGAGTTCCCTTTTCAAGAGAGTTATAAACATCCTCTGGCAAAATCAAATAATTGAGATTCAATACAATTATAAAGAAATGAATAATATAAATAATAATATAAAAATAATATAGTTTTGCAACCAGCACATTTCAAACAAGTTACACTGTGTAATTATGAAGGGACATACTATTCATCCTTATCATTCACTGCTTTTCCTTCCTTTTTTTCTACCTTGGGATGTGGATTTGCAGAAGTTTTTGTCCTGTGATTTTCCTAGAATTGATATTATATTTCTAAAGTACAAAAATAAATTAGTTCTAAACAAAACAAGTATTACTTTAGTCTTCTAATTGGTGACGGCTTCTCCATAGTAATTTCTTTTAAAAACAAAAAAATAAAAAATACGGTGGTCCTTTTAATTTCTGACTAAAATCTTTATCTTGATTTTTACTGGCTTATTTTTGTTTGCAGTGTGTTCTTGCAAGTATTATTGTTGTGGGGCTGAAGGGAATGCTAATACAATTCCGGGACTTAAAAAAATATTGGAATGTGGATAAGATCGATTGGGTAAGTAGAAATTTTACCCTAAATTTTCTTCTTTGGTTTAAGCACATTACTAAATAAGCTTTAATAGTTTTATTTGCAGAAAACAGATTTAGGCTTTTAAGACTTGTGTACTTTATGAACTACCAGTTATTGTTTTAAAAATCTTAATAAAAGCATTAAAATAGAAATTGTTTTCATAAGAGACAGAAATGGAATTTTGTCAGATCTGTGTATAGTTTGAGAACTTTTAAAGAAATGCTAACTAGCCAAGCATGGTGTCACATGACTCTAATCCTAGAGGCTCAGGAGGCTGAGACAGGAGGATCATGAGTTCAAGGGTAGCCTCAGCAATGATGAGATGCTAAGCAATTCAGTAAGACCCTGCCTCTAAATAAAATACAATAGGGCTGGGGATGTAGCTCATTGGTTGAGTGCCCCTGAGTTCCATCCCGGGTACCAAAAAAAAATGCTAACTAATTTGAGTGTATTGGGGATGTCCAGTTTACATTATGAACTGATTCTGGAAACTAGGCTCATCAGGAAGGTACACACCAATAGAGATATGATGATTTATAATGTGTATGTAAAACTAGCATTAATTACTCTGAATGTATGCTATGTGGAGATAGGGTGAATGGCTTTATGGTGATCACATTCATTCTAAATACATGAATATCTTGAATGAATTACACTGACAAGAGCGTTATGTTAATAGGCTATTGCTGAGAACAGATTAAAGTATACTGAACAATGATGAAGTGTGGTTTCAATGAACAGAAATGTTTAGCATACTTACATTTTAGAGAAACCTGTCTGTATATGGGCATCCAAATCCTCTCCATATAGGAGAAGTAATTCATGAATACCCTTCTCTTTATATGGTATTGATCATATTGAAATGTCATGATCTATGTATTTCTACTCCTTCAGATTCATTGTTCTGTGAGCCTTAGGGGATTGTTTTTTCTAATACCTACTTATACCTACTTTCATAATAACGAGGTGCAGTATTACTGAGTTTCTACCAAAGTATGATGCTGAGTGCCATGAGCAATGTAGAGATGAGCTACCAGTCTTTCCCAGATGCTTATGGTTCAGGAAGCAAACACAGAAACACCTGGAAATACAAGTGAAAGCTTGGTGCAGGGGAAAAGTGGAGGCAGAAGCACTCATTTGTACTGGTTAATACGAAGGGCTCTCACAGCAGAGCTGAAATATGAATGGAGATTACAGGCCAAGAGGACAATTAACGAGGCTGAGTGAGGATCATGACTTTTTTTTATTAGTTGTTGATGGACCTTTATTTATTTATAAGTGGTCCTGAGAATGGAACCCAGTGCCTCACATACGCTAGGCAAGCGCTCTACCACTGAGCCACAACCACAGCCCAACATTTTTTTAAATTTTAAAGGTGGTTTATATGAAATCACTCATGGGGAAAAATAAATAAGAAGATGCAAACTTATTCAACAAGCTACTGGATAACCCTGTGAGAAAGGTATTTCTAAGGAGCTTATTAATCATATTGGAAGGAAACATGTTTCCATATTGCAGGGGACAGGAGATATCAGAGAAGGCTTCTTTTCAGAAGTGATTTCTAGGTGGAGATTTGAAGAATGAGTCCATTTTATCTGGGGAAGAGAGAAAGAGACCAATCTGTGCAAAGATACAGGAATGAGCGTGAGCATGTTTGAATCTCCATATCAAGGTGTTCAGCGTGGATGGGACATGCAGTGTGAATCTGCATGTAATGAAAAATGAGGCTGTAAAGTTAAGAATGTATTGGATTGTGAAAGACCACTTTTAGATTTCATTCTGGAGACAGTGAAGTATCACAGAACGGTGAAGTAGATACAAGATTAATAAGTTTTATGTATTAAAAAGATCATTTGAGTAATTTTAGGGAAATGAATCATACTGAAAGAGAATAACACAATTAGAGCACTGCCCTAGTAATTCAGGCAAATGAGGAAGGCCTAGACCAAGGCTGAGATCATGAAGTTCAAGACAAGATAGATTTGAAAAATACTTAAAAGACTGAAATAGTTCGTCTTTACCACCAATTCATCCTATAAAGTAGATCCGTCTAGAATGACGTCTAAGACTCTAGATAGGAACATCAATGGAAGAAGACACTATCATTCATGGAGTTATAGAAAATATAGAATTTTATTGTTTAAAAACATGTAAATTGGTTACCTTTTATCTTTAAATAATATAGGTTCTCATTTCTGAGTTATTCATTTCACCTCTTTGTTTTCTGTATGTCATCACTAAATAGTTTTCCTAAAAGGGTTCATGTGTTTTGTATTCGAAGTTATTACATTTTAAAAATATTGACCTGTTCAGGTCCTTGGCCCATTTGTTGATTGGGTTGTTTGTTCTCTTATTGTCTAATTTTTTGAGTTCTTTGTATACTCTGGATATTAGGGCTCTATCTGAAGTGTGAGGAGTAAAGATTTGTTCCCAGGATGTAGGCTCTCTATTTACCTCTCTTATTGTTTCTTTTGCTGAGAAAAAACTTTTTAGTTTGAGTAAGTCCCATTTGTTGATTCTAGTTATTAACTTTTGTGCTATGGGTGTCCTATTGAGGAATTTGGAGCCCGACCCCACAGTATGTAGATCGTAGCCAACTTTTTCTTCTATCAGACAGCGTGTCTCTGATTTGATATCAAGCTCCTTGATCCATTTTGAATTAACTTTTGTGCATGGCGAGAGAAAGGGATTCAGTTTCATTTTGTTGCATATGGATTTCCAGTTTTCCCAGCACCATTTGTTGAAGATGCTATCCTTCCTCCATTGCATGCTTTTAGCCCCTTTATCAAATATAAGATAGTTGTAGTTTTGTGGATTGGTTTCTGTGTCCTCTATTCTGTACCATTGGTCCACCCGCCTGTTTTGGTACCAGTACCATGCTGTTTTTGTTACTATTGCTCTGTAATATAGTTTGAAGTCTGGTATCGCTATACCGCCTGATTCACACTTCCTGCTTAGCATTGTTTTTGCTATTCTGGGTCTTTTATTTTTCCATATGAATTTCATGATTGCTTTATCTATTTCTACAAGAAATGCCATTGGGATTTTGATTGGCATTGCATTAAACCTATAGAGAACTTTTGGTAATATCACCATTTTGATGATGTTAGTTCTACCTATCCATGAACAGGGTATATTTTTCCATCTTCTAAGATCTTCTTCTATTTCTCTCTTTAGGGTTCTGTAGTTTTCATTGTATAAGTCTTTCACCTCTTTTGTTAGGTTGATTCCCAAGTATTTTATTTTTTTTGAAGATATTGTGAATGGAGTGGTTGTCCTCATTTCCATTTCAGAGGATTTGTCGCTGATATACAGGAATGCCTTTGATTTATGCGTGTTGATTTTATATCCTGCCACTTTGCTGAATTCATTTATTAGCTCTAATAGTTTCTTTGTAGACCCTTTTGGGTCTGCTAGGTATAGAATCCTGTCATCTGCAAATAGTGATAATTTAAGTTCTTCTTTTCCTATTTTGATGCCTTTAATTTCTTTCGTCTGTCTAATTGCTCTGGCCAGTGTTTCGAGAACTATGTTGAACAGAAGTGGTGAGAGAGGGCATCCCTAAGATACCATCTCACTCCAGTTAGATTGGCAGCCATTATGAAGTCAAACAACAACAAGTGCTGGCGAGGATGTGGGGAAAAGGGTACACTTGTACATTGCTGGTGGGACTGCAAATTGGTGCAGCCAATTTGGAAAGCAGTATGGAGATTTCTTGGAAAGCTGGGAATGGAGCCACCATTTGACCCAGCTATTCCCCTTCTTGGTCTATTCCCTAAAGACCTAAAAAGAGCATGCTACAGGGACACTGCTACATCGATGTTCATAGCAGCACAATTCACAATAGCAAGACTGTGGAACCAACCTAGATGCCCTTCAATAGATGAATGGATAAAAAAAAATGTGGCATTTATACACAATGGAGTATTACTCTGCATTAAAAAATGACAAAATCATAGAATTTACAGGGAAATGGATGGCATTAGAGCAGATTATGCTAAGTGAAGCTAGCCAATCCCTAAAAAACAAATGCCAAATGTCTTCTTTGATATAAGGAGAGTAACTAAGAACAGAGTAGGGTCGAAGAGCATGAGAAGAAGATTAACATTAAACAGGGATGAGAGGTGGGAGGGAAAGGGAGAGAGAAGGGAAATTGCATTGAAATGGAAGGAGATCCTCAGAGTTATACAAAAGTACATACAAGAGGAAGTGAG